ATATATATATATATATATAATATTTATAATATATTAAATTTCAAGACTTTATCTAAGATAAAATTTTAAAAATATTTATTTAAGAAAATAATATTTTTTTTTATTTTAGAAAAGGTGAATTTTAATTATTACTTATCTTAAAGTTGCTTGTTCTATTTATTATTTTATTATAGCGCTAACTTAAATTAATATTGCATTTGCACTTTTATAACAAACAAGTCGGCTTGAACTCTTATACTAACTACAAATAAAAAAAAAAGTTTTTGCAGCACTTTACACAGACAACCACAGCGGTAAAAACTTATGCTATGTTCTTTGCAGTGATTTTAAATCGTTGTAATTGCTAGCCCTGCAAAAGTTTTTACAGCAATTTAAACTATTTTTATGCATTTTTTTAAAAACAACTTTAAATAAGTGTTGCCAAAAACCTTATTTTTAGTGGTAAAACTCGAGCTCGAGCTCGAATTAAATTAAGTAATTAATTAATCTCAAGCTGAAGCCGTAGGTGGCTCAAGGTCAAATTGACTCGTTTACACTCCTAGCCATGACTATCCGCCAACCATTCCTCAGGTTGATGATTCCATTATATGATTTTCACCCGACTAATAATAGTTTGAAAAAAAAAAATTTTGATGAGAAAATTATTCATTGAATTAACTTTTAATATCAAATCATAAGAAAATAATCTTAGCATGTGAAAGCAAATTAACAATGATAGAGTGAGATTTAAAGTTTTCACTTTATAAAAAGTACAACATACATATAAGAAGTATTTTATGAGATAATAGATTTTACGTACAAAAATCATAGAAATTAAAAGACAAAACTCATAAAATCTGGTATAGTTAAAATTACTTCACTAATGTATGCCATAGATTACACGTGTTGTTATTCTTCGTGACAAAATAAGTGTTGATACCTTGTAGTATACATGAATTGTGCAGAATATAATATTTCATGATTGAAGTTGTAATTTTGAGACATTGAGCTTCTCTTCAAACAAAACATTTGTAATATGTTCGATCATTTTTAATCTTAGTGTGGTGATGATGGGTGATCAGGCAACTCGTGTTGGTGTTAATGTTGATAGCATGCATCGATTTAATGACATACATCAATATTATATGTTTTGACACTATCAATATTATTAGCGAGTACAATTGACAGTTAGAGTGTGTTGGAGCCGACGTAGATGGCAAGCATCAACTTTATGAGCGTTGGTAACTTTTATCCCAGAAGATTTTGCATAATTTCGTACCTGTGAATCTTAACCTTCAATGGCATGGTATAGATTTAGCCTCAAAATGTCAATGTTATTATGACTTAAAAGATGTTCAACACCTTTTTGTTCAGAGCTGTATTGCGATTTCATTTGGCGTTTGATGGTTTCAGTCTTCAATAAAAACAGTTTTCAATCTAATGCTACGCTAAATGAGCTTATAAGAAATTGGTTAGCCCTTATTCCCAGAACTGCTAAAAAATATAATATCCATATTATTTTATCGTTTTTATGATTTATTTGGAATGCTAGAAATTCTTCGAAGCATCATAACAACAATATGAATCATAACTCAATCATTTTTTATATTTCTCATAGAATGCATTTCTTGATTAAAGCCAATTTAATCATTAGTAAATAGTTTAAAGGTATTCGAAAATCTCTATTTGCCTTCGATCTTCATGATTTGAAGCCTCCCGACTCTTACTTGGTTTGGGTTAATTGTTTTGCACCTAGGTTTGGATGGGTGAAATCCAATACAATGGTTCAGTGTCTAACATGTCGGGGCTTTGGAGTTTTTTGAGAGACCGTGAGGGTAACTTGCTAATTGTTTTTGCAAGTCCTCTTAATAATTCCTCTATACTTTATTCGAAATTATTTGTTCTGAAAGAAAGTTTGATCTTAGCTATATCTATTAATTACTGTAATGTATGATTTGATTTTGATGTTCAACTGGCAGTGCAGCTGTATTCAAACTTTAATATGAATGATATTGCCAACTGTCATATCATCTATCTATTGCGTGAGATTCAACATCTTTTTTACTCTATTAATTGGAGGATATCACATATTTTTAGAGAAGGTAGCCCCTTGTATTAATTTTTTGGCTAACTTGGGGTCTCGCCTGCAGAACTTCCAAACATTTTCCTATGTTGATTTGGATCAACATTTCAAATGCAAGATTTTCTTAGATAAATTTGGTATCCCATATCTAAGATCTTATTAATTTTTCTATTTTTCTGGTTGGGTACTTGGCCTATTTTCTTTTTTCTCGTGTGGATGCTTGGTTGTTTTGGGCGTGTGCTTCTTATGTTGTTATTATTGTTTGGTGCATTTGAGCTTCAATGAATGTTTATGTCTTGTTCTACTTTTTAGTTTTTTTTTTTTTTTTTGTAGTTGGACTTGTTCTGCTTTCAGGGTAACATCCCTCTTGTATTTAAAAGTCTTTAATACATTTTGTTTCTTATTGCTTTCCTATTGGAGTCGAGCCGGTTTACCAGACATTGGGAGCTCTTGCGTGTTTTTATATTGTTAAGATTTATCTCTTTAGTCATTTTTCTAGGTTGTGGCATTTTTTGAGGTCTTGCTCTTTCAGTAATGGTGGTTGCAACTTGATCATTTTTTCTTTTGTTAGGTGTTCTTCTTTTGATTTTTTTCTTGGTCGTCGTTTGGTATCCTTAGAACAGTTTTTTTTTTCTCCCATTTGGTTGTAAAAGACTACCCTAATGTACCTAATGTTTTGCCCTTTTTGTTTATCCTTGATGATGCTTTGATCCTTGTGGATGGCTTCTAGATTATTCTTATTTTCTATGTTATTCTTCTTTCTTTGTTCTTTCTCTTTAATCTACTTATTTCAGATCCTCCATTTGGCATCCTTGTATATCTAGGTATCCCCTTATTTTGGTTTTCTTTCGCTTTGTCTTTGCTATTGCAGGTTTCTATTGGATCTTTTGTTGGCTTTCAATGAATCTTTGAGGTTTCCTTGGCGGTGTGTTTCTTTTTGGAATTCCATTGTGTGAGTTAAGGATCCCCTAGCTACTCTTTTGTGTGTGTTTTGTTATGTATTGGGGATCCTTCTGTTGATGTTTGTAATTTTTATTTTGGATTAATAAAATTCTCTTCGGGTTTTCAAAAAAAAGTACATTGACTTCACACGAAAAAAACTATCATTAATGATAGGTGTCATTCTTATAAGCGATCACGAGTGATGAAGTCAAGGGGCATTGATGATCAAAAGATTATGATCGTGTTACTATAGATGATTAATGGAAGGTCGGATAACTATAGACATGAGAAAAGTGTTAGAAAACAATAGTTAGATCATGTTGGCTAGGCGACCATAATTGGTGCAAATTATTCTAAAGAAGAATACACCAACTGTAGAAGATGCAAGTATACAATGGCAAATACTTATGATGAATACGCCATTAGTGCAAAGATGCAAATGCAAGAAACATCGCGTGAGCGATGTTGTGCTTGACTATCTTGGGTATTGAACAACAACGTGGAATTACACCTTGCCCTAATAGCAACCAAACACATAACCAAGAGACAGGCACACATATTATGTAATGTACAATGCAACCAAGCAAACACGTGCTCCATGTAAAAGAACATGTAAAAATCAAGTTCAATTTTTAATAATTATTAATTTCCATCCTGGCGAGGGGAAGGATTGTTGTTTGAAGTCGGAGCTGTTGCTCAGAGCAGAATCTCTCTCTCTCGTAGGCTGCTCAAAGGCTTTCCTTGGTATCCTGCAAATAAAGCGTTTGCTTAACCGTCATTATTATAAAATTAAATGCATGTTTTTTTTTAAATACAATTATATATTAACTACATCCTCATTTTCCTATTTCTATTAAATTGAGCAAAACATTGCCGGCCTAATCATTTTCTTTAATTTTGTCAAATAGATATGTCAATTATCCCAACAATTTTTTAAACAGACAAGTAATGTCTGCCAGCTAATATTTATTTATTAGTTTAAAAAAAGAAAAAATAAATAAAAAGCACAGTTGCCTGCAAACTTGAGTTCGGGAAAATAGCTCTTCATTATGAGGGGCAGCTCTTTCTTGTCTCCAAAAAACAATGAGTTGAAAGAAACTTGTACCCTTCTCTTCATCTTATTCTCATCATCAGCTTCGCAATCGTTTCCCGAAACCTTCAAAAGCGTTGTTATGAACAGTCTCTTATCCACCTTATAAGCCATTCGCTGCCATTTATCCACCACCATCGTCGCTTCCTCCTCTAAAGTTTTTGAGACTGTGAAAACAGTTACCTTACTCGGAACAGCCACGAGCCTCAGCTGGTGAGCCAGAATCACCCCAAAGCTCATCCCTCCTCCGCCTCTCAACGCCCAGAATAGATCTTCGCCCATCGTTCCTCGATCCTTTATTTCTCCGCTTGCCGCCACGAATCGGATGTCTTCCACGCTGCCGCTCGCTAACTCGATTAACCTGCAAAAGTAAATAATAAAAGCAAGCCACCGTCAACTTTAACTTGAATTTCACATATTGTAAAATAGAATGAATGATTATATAAGAAATTAGTTAATATGAAATATAAATTTTATTTAATGAATTTTTTTATAATTTTAAAAAATTTCAAATTTAATATATTTTTTAAATATATTTGTTGTTAGTATTTTTTTTTTTTTAAGGACTCAACTCGGATTAATTTGAGCTTGACTTATTAACTTCTTGAACTCATTTCACGTGCCACTTAAGGGTCTGTTTGGGGCAGCTGCAGCTTATGCAGCTTCTGCTGATAAGCAGCTTATCCTGATAATCTACTGATGATCAGCTGTTCCGGATAAGTGGTCTGATTGTTTGGTTGGCGCTTATGAAAAATAGCTGATTTTGAAAAATTGACAATTCTGCCTTTGAAATGCTCCTGCGCCTACGGTGGGATTCAGGCCGGCGGGGAAGGTGGCATTCCTTGCTATCGTTGGCGATGGCGTAGTAGAGCTCCCCGAGAGTGGCTCCGGCATGCACCCAGGCTGTGGCGGAATGTGTATCGATGCTGATGGAAGAGAGAAATTGGAGGTCAATAAGCACAAATCGGTCGGAGGTGGGAACGAAGGATAGATCATCATTGTCTTGGCCGCCGCTACTGGTGCGGATAGGGATGGCGAGGCTGCGAGAGCAAAGAACGGCGGCTTGGACGTGGATTTCGATGGTTGGGACAAAGAGGAGAAGCGGTTTGAAGGAGTTTTGGGGGGTGCGGCGGCTGGGGACGGAGGAGAAGTATTGGTTGTAGAAAGAGGATTGGGGATTGAAGTAATGTTTGGAGGGAACAGAGTGGTTGCGGAGGCAATGAACGTAGCCGTACTCGTCGTTAATTGTCGACTGATCAACTTTAATGGCGTGGGAAGAAAGCAAAAGGAAGAGGAGATTAATGAAGAGGGGGATGAGGAGGATCTCCATCACTTTTTGCCTTGTTGGTTTATGGGTTTGGGGTGCATCAATTTCCCAAGGGTTTAAATAGAAGTGAGATGTTGAAATTTTTCAAAGTAGATATGAAGATGATTTTTATAAATTATGAATAAATCAAGAAGTGGGGATTTAAATATATACATTCCACGTGAAATTTTATGTATTTATATGTTGAATGCATAAGTTTAAATATTTAATTGTTATATAAAAAATATGAATATCTAGAAATTTTCGTTAGTTTTCTTTTATTGAATCTAGCATACCTGTCGAAGTTGTTGAATCGAGCTCACCTGCCAAAATGGTTGAATCAAGTCCACCTATAAAAGTTATTCTTCAAAAGTCCAAAATGTTCTTCTCCTATGAGGTACACACAGATCATCGCTCTTCACATGAGAAAAAGTAAAAAAGAAATTCCAGAGCCCATTTTGGACTAATGACCCGATGAGAACTGTCGATCACCATTAAACATCAAGTGTTTTCGCTCACCATCAAACACCAACCACTGGTGACTGTTGCTTGTGACTGCCCTAGCAAGAATCTGTTGGTCGTTCATAAGAAATATATTTTTTTACCCTGTATAAAAACAAATTTAATGTTCAATGTAAATTTATAATCTTATTCTCAATGAGAGAAGGGGTTCAGCACCAACAACGACCTATGTGGACAAATTCTACTTTCATAGCTTCTGGTTATAGCCTCAGAAGTATACTACTATTTTTGCAGCCACAAACTATAGTCTTTGTGGTCGGTTACTTTTGTCACACCTTTCAAATATAGCCTATGTGGCCAACTGGCAATATTACAACCACTACTTATTACATTTATGGTCGATTAATATTATTGCAGTAATTGACTATGGCCTTTGTGTCCAACTACTACTGTTATAGTTTACATCTATGAGATTGGTGGCTAACTATTGTTCTTGCAACCCTGGACTACTACTTTTGTGATTGCATACTACTATTACAGTTTCCAACTATAACATATGAGTCAAACTAACAATGTTGCAGTCACCAACTACGGCCTTTGTGGCCAACTAACGAAATTGCAATCACCAACTACGGTTTTTTTGTAGCAAACTACCATTATTACATCTTCCAACTATAACATCTATGGTTAACTAACATAATTATAGTAACCAACTATGACATTTGTTGCCAACTGGCGATATTGCAACTTCCAACAACAATCTTAGTGGCCAATTATTTCCTACGCAGCAACCAACTACAAATTATATGATCAACTACTACTACTACTACTACTACAACAACTTTAATTATGGCATCTATGGCCAACTACCATTATTCTAACCACCAACTCTAGCCTTTGTGGCCAACTATTATTGTTACAGGTGTCATCTTCAGCTTATGTGGTCAACTGCTATTAAAACCTTTAACTTTGGTTTTTATGATCAATTGTTGATATTATAGCCACGGACTATACTCTTCATAATCAACTGCATTTGTTGTAGCCCAATTATGGCTATTATAGCTAAATTACTATTGTAAATATGTTATTACCATCTTTAAAATTTCATCTTCTTTAATTAATGAGGAAATTTATGCGCTTACAAACACATAGTGAATTATTTTGATTAGGCTAAGCCCTCTTGGTTTTCCCTTTAGAGGATTTGCCCTATAAAAAATCATGGCCCTTCTGTTATTTTTCTATTGTATGTCTGTTTTTTAGATCTTTGTGTCATGCTAAAACTTTAAATTATCACTCTATAAACATAAATTTTCCAGCACACAACAATTTTTCAAATGTTAAACAATAATTCTTTATATTTGCTCATATTTTATATTCAATTTGTAAAATGTGTTTTATGTGAAAAATCCAAAATCATAAATTTTTATTTTTATAAATTTAAGTCAATTTTCAACTTGGTGTGTTACCAAAAAACTTCACTTGATTAAATGTGAGGTTTCATATATATTAGGTTGGATAATTTTAAGAGTTAAATTGAACATCATTTAAATTTTGATTTTAACAAATTTAGAGTCTCATTAAACATTTAAATGAGGTAAACGCAACACGATCAAAAGTGATTCAATCAAAGTCTAAATGAGCTAATATTAAGTACTTAAAGTAGAATTAAAAATTTTAAAATACTGATTGGAGGATCAAATAATCTCTCACCTTCCCTCTCCTCTTACAACCCTAGAAGAAAATCTCCTCTTCTCTCTCTCTATCTCTCTCTCTCTAACTCATGCCAATTCTCTCTCTCTCCCTCTCATCACACTCAAGAAGTCCCTCCTCCTTTTGGGCTACTTTCTCTCAAAAGAGGTTCAATTTCCCTTCAAAATTCAAAAGTCAAAACTTTGAATTTCAAAAAATGTGTCTCAATGATCCAAGAGTCAAATCCCTTCAAATTGGAAACTTTCATAGTGTCTAAATGCATTGAATCACTGCATGGGGGCTTAGAACAAGTGTCCCTTTGAAAATTCGCGCAAAATTCGTCTCAAATCGCCTTAATTTGAAAATGTCGCATCCGGCGCATCATGCGCCAGCGCTCTGGATGATGCGTCAAACCCCAAAATTGGCTATTTTTACTCCAAATTTTGCTCATTTTGTTATTTTTTTCC